GGGGGCGAGTGGGGCGCGGCGCGGCGTGGCGGCACATCACGACCCCCGGCCCGACCCGACCAGTTATCCGCTTCCGATACCAGTAGATGTGTAATAACGATGCTAATCAATGTTAATACGTTTGGACCGCCTTCGAGGAAAAGTGAGCTCGCTCTAGCTCGGGCAAAACGCGTGCCTCGTCATTCAATTACGACTTGGGGGCGGGGCGGGGCCGACCTGCCGCCTGGGAACACGGGCACGCCGCCAAGGGGAAGGACGTGCGCACTACTGGATCGCCGAGTACGACAACGATGCCGCGCCCACAAAAACCCGACACGACATATTTTGCTCGCAATACACCCTCTGTGTCTGACTTGTTGCAGCTGTGGTGGGCGAGGGCTTCCCCCGGCTACCACGCCGTCTCTGGGGGCAGTCGCCGTGGCCGATGAACTTCCCACAGGAGGTCATCGTCGACGACGTCGGCGTCCGTGGCATCCTGGATGGACTCCTGGAACACGTCCCCGTTGACGCCTTCTACTGGAGCAGCGACCACGACAGGGTACGTTTTTGCTGCTGAAAACTGTGAGGGGAGAAAATGGAACAAAAAGCATCCCTGGTGGGGATCGAACCCACGACCTTTGGATTAGAAGTCCAACGCGCTATCCTCTGCGCCACAGGGACTTGTTATACCTGGCTCAGTGATGCGCGTACTGTCTCACTCGACCGCTTCTGTCTCTTCCCCTCAGGAGGTGCCCGGCTACCTGTCCCAGGTGCGCTGGCAGGTAAGATCCTCGTCCGGTCGCGTGGAAGCCGTCCCAGACAACGGCGTGCCTTCGGATCAGCTGCTCGAGATGGCGCGGACCTCGGAGCTCCTCGTGAGGACGTGGTACGAGATGGCAGCTTACTCTTCACTGACAGCGAGCGAAACAAACACGTTGTTTTACTTCAAAGGCTCTTTCTTGTTGACAGTGAAGCGCGATGCAATTCACCAATCGTCCTGCGAGTCGGGACGGTGCCGGGTCCGAAGGACACCCGAAGAGCGCAACGACGGGGACGCGCGCCGGCGCGGTCCAAGAAGGACTCCAAGAAAGTCACCAGGATGGCCAGCCCGACCAGCTCGAGCACGGAGGTTGACGAGAGGACAAGCGTCTTCCAGGTTGACGAGGGCGGAGCTGACGAGGTGGACGCCACCGCGGTGGGCAAGAAGAGGGGGGTGATCGTGCAGGAGACGGACGCGGAGAAGGGCAAGACGACGGAGGTGGGCGTCCAGACCACTCCACGGCTCGCACGGCGAGTGAACCTGAGCCTAAGTATCGCCCCACCCCCCACGGCCGAGCTAACACCTTCGGCCACAAACACCTCAGAGCCGTCGACGCCGACAAACTCGCCCATTTCGAGTCCCACGTGGCACGAGTACTTTACGCCCCAGGGTGTAGTGGATACAGACCCACTTCTTCACGTTGAAGTCAAGGCGGGTGATTCTGCTCAGAGCGATTCTCTTCCTGCGCCGATGCTGCAGCAATCTGCAGATGAGCCTGCGTCCACCGGCGAGGTGGAATGCACCCCGCTGCCCGACTCGCCCCCCAGAACAGTCCGGGCGACACCAGAGATCAAAACCGAGGGCGCCCACGCGATGCACCGTCCAACGGAAGACGAGTGCCAGATCGTGTTCGGGAGCGGGGGAGAGGCGGGCGGGGAGCCGAGCAGCAGCAAGGCCGTGTTCGCGAGGGGCAAAACGCCCCAGCTGCCCTCCACTCCGCCGCCGCCAACACCACCGAGCACCCCGTTCTGGTTGGGCGCCAACGAGGAGCTGCTGCAGCTGCAGTCCGTCGCCATTGTGCAGGCTGCGGCCAGGCAGCTGCGGGGGGAGAGTTCCCCGCCCCCAGACACACAGACACCCTCGGGCCCATTCCAGGAGGCCCCCGTCCCTCCATCCCCTGCGAACGAGGCAGCCCTTCATTCGGCCCATGAGGCTACGGTCCTTGCTACCCCAGTGCAGGAGTCGCCACACCTTCTTTCAGAACACAATGAGCTACACCTGCATCCGAACGCACAGGGAATTCCCGCTTCTCACAAAATCGAGGCATCCAAACAGCCCGGCAACGCGATTTCCCTACCACGATACAACCTGGCCCAGGGCAGTCCCACAGTCCGTTCCTTGCCGACAAGGTCCACTCCGCGGCCACAACCACGGCATTGGCCTTTGGTGCCGGTGCTCAAGAAGCCAGACGCACCACCGGCTAAAACCAACAAACGCGTCTCTTTCGACGAGAACCTGGTGAAGGAGTTGGCCCCGACCGAACAGGAGTGGCCCAAGGATGCAGCACCGCGGGTGGATGACCCAGAAACCACAGAGCAGGAGGAGCAGCCCCTGGTGCGCATCACTTGTTGGGCTGCGAGAAATCAAGATTCCGGTTGTCCACAAAATAATCCTCGGAAGGAAAGCGACGCCGCCAAAAAGAAAACCGAAGCCATCGAACATCCCCAAAGCCAGCCGCCAGCTCAGAGACTGCGGAAGCCGTGGGTCAGATCCTCCAGGCCTGGGCTCCAGCTCGCGGTCCCCGACATCATTCCAATCAACACCATAGCCTCGGTGGTCCCTCGGACCAGGACCCGCAAGCTTTCAGACGGCTACAGGACACCATTCAGGTCCGTGCCATTGTGCCTTCCGTCACCTGCTCTGGACATGTAAGATGCTAGGAACTCAGCAGCACCTTCTGTATGCTTCAATATCAAGCGG